GTGGAATGAACTTTATTTAAAATTACTTTTAAATACCTTTGTTTAACATTTACAGAAATGTTTAAAACTATTCTGAGTTAACATAATTACAAATTCTTGTTTTTACATCTTCAGTAGCTACGCTGAACTATCTTAATACAAGCTCCAGTCAAATTAAGCTGATTCCTAAAATGGTTACTAATAGACTTTGTAAAGAATTGTTTCCCAACCAAGACCATAATCTCCTTCAAACTGTAGCTTATCAGAGTTTACAGCGATAAAGACTTTTTCTTTCTACCATATAAGTGCATAAAGAAAATCAGACTAATTCTGCAGAGGCTTAATCGTAGGTTTAGGTGCTTCAGTTTGCGTAGCAGCTGGCACAACATGTAGGCAGAACATTGCTGACAGAGAGCTCAGACATTAGGTTCATGTGAGGAGGGCTATCATGAGTCACATATTTTGTGGAAATAAGCATTTAAATACTACAGTGACCGGCAATATGCAAAGCACTGTGTGGGAAAAGGAATTGTAATGATTCTGAAAACTAAAAGGCTAGTGGTCATAAGAAGAGCAGCTGAAAAGAAATAGAGATTTCCAAGAAAAACTGCAACGATCAGCTGGTTAGCTTAAGGCTGTTATTTTCGCCCAAGATTACTGTTAACTCCCTTATTTCACATGAAGAGAAAATGGATATATGATTTCTGTTTATGTAGCTCTTAGAGGCTGTGCTTGAGGCATTTGAAGTTTAAGCTACTGAAGTGTCAACACCACTCTAAACACTAGTGGAAAATACTTTGATGAACTCAAACCCCTTTCTTTAGGGTGGCATCCTGTTGTTCTAAGATTTTTGATCTTAGTGGACTGTTTTCCCAAAGGAAAGTTGGGAATTCAGGGAACTGGCTGTTTGTTGACCAGAATTGTTCTAGCAGCAGCCAGCCGCTTCCAGATGTGGTCTGTCTTAAGCATCCCTCTCTTATCAAGGCAGAGATGTGTGCTAGGTATGTAATGGGAAGTGGTCAAGGTACCTCTGTCAGGAAAAACAGGTTTTAAGAACCAAGTGAATTGTTCTGGCTAGAGCCACCCAGTTCTGGCCATGCTTCTTCCAGGGACTGTGCAAACTGCGCAGCATCCTACCTGTGCTTGCGCACACCATAGTTCTGCATGTGTAGATCTGATGCTGAACCCACTAAGCCTGTGAGATGTGCCTTTTTCCTGGCATGATCTCCAAACCAGAGTTAATTAACTCTTCTACCAGAAAGACTAGGCAGAGCTGATAAATCATCTCATATTTTTTGGAGGTCAGCCAAAGCTCTAACATGATCTTGTAGTGAATGTTTAGGTCTTCCATGTAGTCTCACCCTGCATACATTTAGGATTGCATGTAACATCTTTGATTCCTTGCTTTCAGAAAAAAGGCTTTTTATGTACCTGTGGTAAGCTGGTCAGCTGAGCTGGCTTCTCTTCTAATATGACCTGAAGACAAAGCATGTGACAGGAACTTTCTCTTCTCAACTGTACGTCAAGAACTCATTCAACACAACCCAGAACAAAATCTTTTAAATTGCCTGCCTGAGCACTCAAAGGCTTTCTTTAAAACAAGCAGAAATATGGGGGTTGGGGTTTGCAGGTTTTTGTTTGTTTGGATTTTTTTGTAGTTGGAAACAAGCAATGAAAGACCTATTCCCACTGCACATGTGTTAACCATTATAAATGCTGCTCAGAGAACCTTGGGGAGCTGAGCATTTATTAATCAAGGGCTTATTAGTACATCGTGGTACGTCTAGGTTTTTTTCCCCCCTTCTTTCTGGTTTTAATCTGATTTAATTATAGTATAGGAGAAGACAGATAAGTGAAATTATATGTCATTAATTAGTATAAAAGAGGATTTTTTTTCTATTCTAAATAACCCATGACAAAATATATGTGGCTTTCTAATACAATGCAAACGTTTCTTGGTGTTTGTTGTTTTTCCCCTCCCTGAGCTTTCTGCATCATTCACAACTTTGTCTCAGCAGAGGTGAGAAATCTGAGGATCTGGATATCCATGTACCACATGGGAGACTGAATCCCTATGGAGGGACTGTCTGAGGGGCTTGATAGCTTAAGTCTTCATTCCTGATCTGGCCCTGGGCTTTTCTGGTGTGGGCTTGTTTGCAGGCAGAATGCAGGGTACACCTGTCCCCTGCATGGCACAGCCCCATGCAGAGGTATAGCTAGGGTCCTGAGAGCCATAGATCCCTGTTTGTATACGAACCTGGAGTATGAACTCGTTAGGAAAGACAGTCCCATCAAACTGTTTCCAGTTCAGGACTTAGCACTCCATAGTAGCTTTTTCTGAAGCTACTTCAGTCTCCCTTACTGTGTATCAGTAACTGACAGCCGGTGGCAGTGACTGTTTCCATGTGATGGATGCCCGTCTACGAGGATCTACCTTGAAATTGGACATCATGTTATACAGCCCAGTGAACAGCTGGCAGCAGCACAGCTTCTATTGATATGTCCTGATTCGAATTAATAATTTACATCTCTAAGACCTACGCATCATGTGAAAGTATCTCCAGCCCTTCAGCAATCATTTGAACCACTAGTTTTCTCTTTCTATTTTTTATGTAAATATAAGTAATCTGTTTAGTTGGAGAAATGAAAAGTTATGCTTTAATGAACATGGAAGAAGGTTTCTTCTTATGAAACAGATACTGAGCTCTGAGGGATCTGTTTGCATGAAATTCGTCTCCATATTCCAGTAAGTCAAACTCAGTTAAGATTTCTGAGAAGATCATCTAAAATATATTGATTTTCTTTTCTAATATTTCAGGAGTTAGATATATGTTGGCCCATGGTGTATTGTGGCACTTTACAAAAGTGTTAAACAACTTGGTCTGAATCTTAGCTGTGCTGTAGGCAACAGAATAGGCAGGTTTTGTGGATATTGTAAACACAGTATATCTTCAACACAGTGGTTAGTATGTTATTTGCCTTAATCATCTGAAAAGTGACAAGATAGACAATGCAGAGTTGCCGTACAAAGCCACCTGTCAGTGGCGACAACAATGACAAGAAATTACAATTCCAGCTCAATGTGAGAGATTATAACTGTCTATCAAATTTGAGAAAAAATCTTCTTATTCCTTCATATCCGTTTAACTGCTGAAGTAGCTAATAATTCAACAAACACTAAGTTGTTAAATTATGATGTATTGTTCTCAGTCCCAAATCTGACACTTGCAGGCAGTGACAGGAGTGGCTTATTCCTGAAAGATAAGTTTCCTAGATTGAAATGACTTTTTGTAAGAAGCGATGTCATAGCGCTTAACATTTGGTTCTGTCTTTTCCTTTCTTTTCTGGAGTTTTTCTATGTGGTAACAGCTCTTCCTATAGGAGCTGACTAACATGACTTCCTCTACTTTGTGCTAGCTCCATTAAAAAGAAAAAAAAAAACTTTGAAAAAAAAAAATATTTTCCATACTACTGTGTGGAAGACTTAATCTTAGTGACCAGTAGATCCCATCCTGGAAAGACCCATGCTACATGTTACATTAGTAGTCTTCACAGCTGCTTTGGAGGTGAGCTGGCACCTCTGTTTCAGCCTTGTTTGAGTGGCTGCAGATGGATGGTTTTGGCTGTGGGGAACTGAGGCTGACTTAGATACTGTTTGGTTATTTGATGTAGTGGTTGCTTTGACACTGTGCCCTGTGACCATGTCATATGACTTGGGTGTTTCTACCTTTTATTCCGGAGAAAACCATGCTAAAGTAGACTATTCCACCTCTTACTACAACAGCTCTTACATACATAGCAGCAATGATCCACCTCCAGAATCTCTTTTTTGTAAGTAGGCCAGTGTAAAATCCCATCTCTCAGTACACGAGGAAATACGTAATTTTAGTGCATGTGCCAAGAGCGTGCAATTCTTCAAGGGAGTTTGCTTTATGAGGACACAAAGGATGCAGCAGACTTGAGACTGTGAGCAATAGACATAACCCTTTGTCCCCCCCATCCCCCCCAAAAAAACCCCCAAACAAACCAACAACCCAAAAGCAAACCTTTGATTAGATATGTATGGCCAGATTGTTTGCTTTTGTAGCAAACACTTCATGGGGCAATCAAGGTCCTCAGGAAGTTCACTAGTGGGGACACTACTTCTAGTCCTCTCAAGAAAGCAGCAAGAGCCATTTCTGCCTGGGCTCAAACCTCCTCTCCTGGCTGTTTTTCTGAATTTGACATCCACAGGCTTAGACCGGATTCTCTCACTGTGCACATTGTGCAAACACTTAGCCGTTGTGTAAAAGAGACAAAAATGCTACTCTTTCATGTGGTACAGGTTCACATTTGCTCTCCACTAGCCTAAGAGGTTGCACAAATAGCATGAGGCTCTCTCAGCCTGCACTTCCCCCCAGCCCCAGCAGTTAGGGCTGTATCTCGGGCAGAACAGCAGCACGGCCACTCTCCACCCTTCCTGGCTTTGCGGGCACAGAGAGCTTTTGTGACACTGACCTTCCAACTCCCAACCAGCTCGCCATGTCTGTGCGTCCTTGTGCCTACATCACCTGGGATTTGACCCAATAATAATGGACTAATTGCCAGTGAGTGGAAAACAGTGAACTACATAAGCAGAGGCCAAGAGACAGTATTAATCTGAAAAGGCTTTATCTGTAAAATAGTGAGGCTTGCTCTGTATTTGAGGCTTATTCATTACCAGCTATTATAGAACGAAACAACCAGAGGGAGCTGAAAGACTTGGTTGTCCTGTTCAGAATTGCTTTCAATCAGATTTGAAAGCTGACAGAAAACTCTTGTAACTAGTAGCAGCTTGGTGCTAAAGGAAGATATGACCAGAAACTGTACTGGGGGTTGAATGGTCTGTAAAACACACAAAAAAAACCAAACCCACAAGCAAGAAAAGCTTCTAGTTGTGATACTACTGATGTTTGGTTTGTGTTTGTTTTATTTTTGACTGACCTTCTCTGATCTAATTCTCTCGTACTTTTTCTTTAGGGATTTTTTTTTTTCCCCTCCCATTTGTGGAGTAAACAAAGAAGAGAGATGATACTGAAGGCACTTGTGCTGCTAGGCTGTGCTCTGGGCGTCAGTACATTCCCCATGGAAGAACCTGAAGATGGAGGCAAGCACTGGGTGGTGATTGTTGCAGGTTCAAATGGCTGGTACAACTATCGACACCAGGTAAGGACCACTGGTTCCACATACTGATGCTGGCCACACCAGAAAATGCCTGCTCTGATACTCGCAGGGAGATGATAGCTGCTTAACTATCATCAGCTAGTTCAGTCCTTCTGTCATTGAGGCAAGTGCTTCTACTTCTAGACTTGCAGAGCACGTGAAGTTTTCAAAACAAACAGTAACAAGATTCACTCAGAGCCTGGTCTTAATTCTTGTTATTGTCACCCCAAGAATTGCCCTCAACTGTCTCTTATACTATTTGAATTTTCTTTTTGCTTGCAACTCTGTCCAGTCTTTCATCTTTTGAAAAGCTGTTGTTAGCAGGAGGAGCAGTATTCTTCCTGTAATCACACTTCTGCATCCTGGGAGACCACTATCAGTTAGGCTAAATGTTCTGTTACTAGGCTAGAGGATCTGACCCCAACTTGCAGGTGAACAAATCATGTCTAGAATTAAACCTCACTTTGAGACAAATGCATGTTTCGTTCCATTTGTTTTCTTCTTTTCCTTACATTATGAAAAAGCTCCCTTTCTTCTCTCCAGTTAAAAAATCTGCCAAGGCTGCAAACACATAGTATGTTTTTGTGGGGTGGAGGACATGCAGAAGGGGGTTATTTTTAACCTGAATCAGTTTGCTCACCATTTTTGACAGCATGGCCTCAGAGTTGTGTTGGCACAACAAGGATACAGTGCACTGGGGTGCAGGGATCAGAGTGAATGGCAGAAAGAGGAAGAAAGGGAACAGGAACTCCTGAGCTTGACACTGCTGTCAAAGCCGGTGTGTTTTGGAATTGTGGTCTGAGTGTGAGTGTTGGGATGGACAGGATTAAATCCAAGTGAGTTAACTCTGAATAAGTTCAAGACTTACAATCAGCAGTCAGGAGACTATGGCACTTTTTCCCTTTGGGGAATTCTTGGGCAATCCCTTAAACAGATTCATCTACACTTAAATGCAGTCTTTGCTCTAAACTTTTAACTACCTCTTGCTTTCCTGGAGAACACGGTCCATTTAATTTTGATTTATGTATACATTTATATATTTCTAAATGTTAGAAAAATACTTTACTGGACTATTGTTGGTTAAGGTGAACTCAAGCAGAGATTGAAATACTAGTGTACAAAACCAGCGTTTTAAAAGTTAAACTGTATTAAAGGTACTGGGTACATACCACAGTCTGATTTGCTGAACACTCAAACTTTTAAAGTAGTTATTTTTAATGTAACTGTACAAAAAAAAAATAATCTAGAGAGGCTTCATCCTCTCTGTTTGCGTTGATTGAGGAAGAAAGGAGCCTTCTGTGTGTTCAGCATGCCGGGGTTTATGTTTGTGTTTCTCCTCCCCCTCAGCTCACAATCAGTGTGTAACTTTCAGTGCAGTGATGAGCTTAAAACTAAATGAACCAGACTGACAACGTTGTTGCATCTGAAGAACAACCTGTTAGTGGCAAATGCTAGCTCAATGCTTTGAAAAACTGGTTTTAGGGATTTTACCTGCTCCTTGCACTGTAGCTGTCACCTGATAACCATAACCATAACTGGGATATTAAAGCCTTAATATAAACCATTCCATTTCAAATTAAATCTGAAAAAAGAGATTTTAAAAGTTGAAATCAGAAAATAATACTAAAAATACTGGTGGTGTACTCAATCACTGCCCGCCCTGGGGTGTCTAAATATAATTACAGAGGTGTGCTCTGGTTGTTGCTATTGCTGTATAACCAGTCTCACTGGCTCCCCTCCACTCTGGGAGTTAATACTCCAACATTAATTCTTTAAATAAAATTACATTTTTGAAACTATGGCTCATGAGAATTACTTTTCTATGGTTGCCCAAGCATAGAGTCTGTAACCCTTCTGTCAGTGACCCTGCAGTGGTGAGTATATCTGCCAAGTATAATGGAGTTATGAAGAACACAAGATGCACACTTACATATTTGTGTCCAACAATAAGTATTTTGAGCATGCTAGTTTCACAGAAGCAAATTAACTTTTGAGTGTGGTCATGCTTTGCAGACAGTTATTAAGTAATTGCTTTGCAGGGTTTGAAAATTGAGAATGGGCTTTCTTTAAACACCTTCCTTTTGAAGATAATGTCAGCTAACAATGGAGAATGTCTGCAATGTCAGATTGTTCTGAATTTCAGTCCTAGACACTTCTGTATTTCAATCTCTACTGCTTGCTTCAAGTACAATATTAGCAAAGTTATGAAATCAGGGTCAGAGAGCCTGTGTGAAGGATCCTTCAGAATGGGGCTGAGCTCCTACTTACCTGTCCTGGGTAAGATACTGTGCCTCTGACTTGTTATGAAAAGAATCAGTTCCCACAAGATGCAGCGCATCAGCCTGTGCCTTTTGTAGCCAGCATTAAGGAGTGAGCACCCGTGGTGGAGGGCATACTGTGAGCAGACCCAGCAGTTAGTCATGGAAAATCCACTCTCTGTGCATCATGAAATGTAATCCAGAGAAGGGTGCCTTGGGTATCAGAAAATTGGGGCACCAAAGGCAGTTAATCACCACACAACTGTTTGCTCACTCCCCTCCCCCCAGCAGGATGGGGGAGAGAATCGAGGAAAATAAAGTAAAACTTGTAGGTTGAGACAAAGGCAGTTTAATAGAACAGCAAAGGAAGGTAACAGAATATACAAAACAGGTGATGCACAATGCAATTGCTCACTACCCACTGACCGATGCCCAGCCGGTCCTTGAGCAGCAATCCCCTGCCTGGCCAGCTGCCCCCAGTTACATACTGAGTATGACGTCGTATAGTATGGAATATCCCTTTGGCCAGTTTGGGTCAGCTGCCCTGGCCATGTCCCTCCCAGCTTCTTGCTGGCAGGGCGTGAGAAGCTGAAAAGTCCTTGACTTGGTGTAAACACTACTTAGCAACAACTAAAACATCAGTGTGTTATCAACATTATCCTCATACTAAATCTAAAACACAGCACTATGCCAGCTGCTAGGAAGAAAATTAACTCTCTACCAGCTGAAACCAGAACACCAGCAAAACTAGCTAAACCATAGACTTTAAGGACAGTTATACAGAGGAGGAAAGGTACTACAGAAATCTCAAGAATTGTAACAGATTTTTGGAAACATTATGCAGACTGATAACCATGTCTTCGCATGTGTTAGTACTCCCTACCTTCCAGCGGTGGAAGCAAAAGCACTGTAAGTATTTAAATTATTTGCTCAAGTCACTTGCAGTGGAACCAGGAGTAGGACTTCGACTTCCAGTTCTGTGCTTCATCCATCATGAAAGTCATTCCATCGTGAACACACGAGAAATGTGTGTTATCTTTCAGTAGAATAATACTTGTACTGTCAGAAAGCAAAGCAGTGCTCTAGGGTTGCAGATTTGTGTAATTCTCTGCTTTCCAAGGGAGAAACTATAGAATAAATATATTGTACTCTAATTCACTTTCCTCCTGCCATCACCTTTCTTCTTCAGAACTTCTCTGATGTAGCCTGTGTACAAGTGAGTTTGTAGATGGGAAGTTTACTGTAAGTAGTTGCTCAATGTGACTGTTTTTTATTACCGGACTGGTTGCTATTGCCTACATGCAACTAAGCACTGTAATGTCCCTTTGTAATTTGAGATCTCAGCTGACACATCTCTGGGTATCAATTGCTCAGTTCAGCTGTTCAGGGTACGGTTAATAAATGATGTTGCATGTTTGGATTACATTTATATTTTGTGAGCGCCAGTTGTTTTGCATGCTGTCTGCATGTAACACAGTCAAAACATGCTTTGTTGCCTTCCGCAGTAGTTACCTGGTGGCAGTGTGTGTTCATCTGACTAAACAACCATAAAAGGAGGAGAAGATTACACCTTCAAAAGTGTCTCTAATTTCATACATGAAAAGTTACGGGGAAAATAGTCCATCATTGCATGCTGTACAGATGCCATGAACAGCAGTTTTGTAAAGACTGTACAGACCGTGTACTATAACCTCAAGGAATCTGAAATTTATTCTAAGACTTGAAATTTGGCTGTCAGTGGTCAGGATCTGCTGTCAGTGGTGCAAACCTCAAGTGTAGACAAGATACGGAAAAAAACCACTGTTTGCATTTATCTGAGTGAGATTCACACTTTACAGGCACTTGTTTCCTCTGTGATGGCTGAACTGGGACTGTTCCCTAATCAGGATGATCTAAACTTGTCTTATATCCTCAAGTTCCTAAAATAAATTTTAAGTGTTTTGAATCATATACAGCCCAATGTGATAGTCTTATTGTCATTGCAAAACTAGCTTGTATATTGCCTTACGCTTGTGGCTTCTCAGTTTTTTGGTGTTTTTTCCCATATCTTAAGGTTTTTTGGTTAGAGTTGCTTGAGCTGTGGAAGGACCATTGATATGCTCCTCTTTGCTCCTCAGCAGTTATTCTGACTTCTCTACAGCAGCTTTTTTATTACCAGACTGGCTGCGATTCCCTAAATGCAACTGAGCACTCATAATATATACCAGAAAGAGTACTACCCCCATTCCCTGGGAAAGTGGCTCAGCTCTCGACTATGCAACGAGCTAGATGATATACCTCTGGAAAGCTTAGTGACATATGTGAGCAAATACAGCACTAAATGCTGCTGGTAGATTTAGAGAATGAGCCAACAGACTAGTTCTTAAGAGAAACAGAATTTTGTATATACTTCTGCTTCTCCTGGGTGATGATTGTACCAGCTAACTCAAACCTAAACCTGGTTTCACAAACAGATTAGAAAGAGAGACAGACCAATACTTTCTGGATACTCCAAAAGACATAGTCAATGGAAAAGCCAGATGTGAAACACAGTCTTACTAAAAGTAGAGTACCTTTTTGAGGAGAAAAATAGCTGAGAGTCTAGCAAAATTAAAATGCTGAAAATAAAAACATTTGGAGTTGCATACATGGGTCTGTTTCCAGTTGTTATTTTCAATCTTACTGAGCTTTATGGGCCAGGGACTCTGTTTATTCAGGGTTTTGGACACTACCAACCAGAGCAGCATCTTAGTCCAGGACAGTCCTAAATTCTCCACTCTTGCAGGTAACAGACATTAAGGATGCCTTGGCTACTTGGCTTCAATTAACATTTCCTCACTGTGCTTACAAAATTGTAACTGAAGCTATGGGAAAACCTTTCCTAAGTTCTTAATACAGTTACTGTTTTGGCTGATTCACTGATGTACGTTTAAGCAGAGGAATGAAACATGGCTGGCATTTCGGACGTATTCTTCTACCATGCTTATATATTAGAGTTCATTCTTTTTTAGGCTGTTGCATTTCAACGTACCTGTAACAGGAACAGTGCCACTTTGCAATTTAGCTGCTAGTTGATTACACATGCTTTTTAGCCATGAACCTAGCAGTCATAAGACCAGAAGTAACCAATTTCACAGAAGTTCAGGCTTTTCCCTTTAGGAACTACTTATGCATGCATGTGTCATAAAACAACTTGATTTTTCCAAAAATCCCACCCCCAAGCAGTCTGCTTGAAAGCTGTGTCACTCAAATGCGTGAACAGCTCTATGGCAGAGGAAAGTTGGGGTGGTTTTTTTTTTTCCTTTTAGAATTTCCCCCAAATGTACATTTTGAGAAACTAAATGCCCATCCTAGGAAAATAGGGGAATTCCACCTCTGATTCCCGTGCTTTCAGAATCTAGGAGTTAATTATTTAAGCAGATTTAAGTATAGATCTTCTATAGAAATTTGCTGATGTAGCAACAGGTTTAGACTAAGCTGGGGATGAAAGGGATGAACCATGCCACCATTAAGAGTGTCCATTTTGGAGCTGGCATGTGGGGTCAGTTGTGCAGTAGCAGCGGTACAGCTATACCTTCTCCTGTGCAGGGCAGCTGCTACCCACCCCAAATCATGGTCACAAAAGTGTCATTTGCATTTAGTGAGAACTTATCCAGTACATGATCATAGCATTCATTTCACATACTACACCAACAAAAATAATACCAAAAAGAGATCTGGAACAGTGTTAGCTGTCTCTTTTAGGGTGCTTTACAGGTACAGATATGGAAGAAAGAAGGCTCAACTAGCAGTATTTGAGAAGCAGTTATGCATCAACAGGAAATACTCTAGATTTACATACACCTCCCTACTCTAGCAGTAGACTGTTTCTATTCTGGTTTTATAGAGATTTTTATTTTTTTTTTTTACATATACAGAGGGAACAGGAGGAGCATAAGACCAACGTCAAAGGTTGAACATCAGTTCAGCTAATTCTATGCAAAAAACCCCCAACTCTTTACTGAGAACTGTCCTACTTTAGCCAATGGAGTTTTAGCAGCAAACCATGTTTTTGCTGCTCTAGCCTGTGTTGGTGATACCATTATGCTACCAGCAAGTACAGTTCCCTTAGCAAAAGCTTTAAAAGGCTGGGACAGTCCCCAGACAGGCTTAAGTTAAGGTTGAGGGGAATTGATTATGTTGATCTGTTTGCCTCCACACTAGGGAATTTAACCCATTTAAATTTACCACCAATATCTACTTTACTGTTTACTATGACAGGACAGAGCGAGCAAAGAGTCATTGAATCAGAAGGAATGAGAGAGGAGACAAAAAAAAAGCTGATAATGTGCATTTACAAAGCTTAACTAATTTGGGGTACTTTGGTATTAATTAAAAACACCTCTGAAGTCCCTATTGGTCAGCCACATGTCTGTGGTAGCATAGACACTTGCTGGTTGAATATATTGATATTATATCACTATGGCATGCCTAAGCATTTCCATGTGTTGCCAGTCTATAACAATTTCTGTCAGTATAACAGAAGTGCATTATATCTTGAGATAGGGGATATATGACCTGCTCATCAATCAGTGTAGAGAAGCCCTGATTAGTGTTTTTTTCTACTTCTGCTTGGGTTGCTTCTGAAAATCAAATACATCTTTAGTCAAACCTGCACTCTGCTGTTTCATATTACATGGGATGCCTGTGTAACAGTTTAACCTCTATCTTTTGACTTGTTGAGGCAGCAGCTGGTATAATGACGTATAAGGAAATGGCAACTGTAAACAGTGGAGACTGGGCCAGGTGGAAGAGACCGTAGGCTGACCTGCATAGTAGGAAATGGAACTGCTTTAATAAGGACAATTTAACATTCAGGGTTAGTCACATGAAGAGATTTTGCTGTGGGAGAGTTCATTAGCATTGAATGTACCTCACCCTTCCCAGAATATTGCACAACTACCCTTTCTTTTCAGCTTCAGCAACACTTAGAAGACCAAGGTTTATAAAGTGACAGGATTTTACAGTGTCCTTTCAGTTAAACTAGTCAAAATCACTAATACTCCTAAGTCATCATAGGTCCACTTAAACCACATCAGTTTGGTTTACAAACTAGCAAATTAGATTAGTTCAAGAGAAGTAAATTTTAAAGTTTGCTTCTTGTCTGCATTTGGAGTGTGCATTTGTTAGATGAGATTTCTTCCATTAAATCTGCACAACTTCCCTGGCATGTGGTAGGTCGTAGTTCTAGAGTTTAGGAATGATTAGTGATATCCCATTAGGTCATTCACGAACTGCAAGTCTAAAAGAAGAGAATTATTTGGGCTGGGGTTACTCAGAATTTAGCATTCTGATAGGCGTTTGCATTTACTGTAATATCACTTTGATGAGTTGTTATTTCTGCATCATGGGAAGATGGTTCTGTAAAGTAAATCTGTTTATTCATATCCTGTACAAGTCAGGAAAAGAGCCTGAATAGAAATTCTGCAATTATGTTTTCCACTGAAATCTATTTTCTTGCCCTGAAGTTGCTTCAGTATTACTCTACCAGAAATACATAATTAAAAAGGAAATTTTCCTTAACAAAAATTCTCACCTAGTAAAACAAAATTTAATAAAATCTTTGCAGAGATGAGATTGGTAAACCATACTTGCTTAAGCCAAAGACAGTCTTGAATGCTTAGTCATGCAGGCTTGGTAGAGAACTAATTGAAATTGGTGGAAATCCAACTCTTTTCTTCTTCTGCTTGGCACACTTTGGATTTCTGCTTGGCACACTTTGGATTTATCTGTCAGTGCACAAGGTTTTCATTTAGATTTTCTCACAATGCAGAACATTGCTGAGAACCTTTTGATAAATTTTGATACTTTAGATCTGTTCCAGGTCTAAAGTAACCTTTGGTTTCTGTTTGAATAAGAAATCAAAGTAGGTAAATGAGAGATTTTAATCATAGTCTCTATTATTAATGCAACTACCCCTAGTTAGAGAAAGACACTGAGTTTTGGTTTAACCTGTGCATTTCAGCACTCTAGCAACCCTCAATCTCTTATATTTGAATGCAGTTTCTTTTGGACAATATCCTGCTCTTAGGCCTGCAAAGCTATTTTTCTTCTGATCTCGAAGGTAAAATGCCTCTTAAAGCTAGTAATGAAAATCTGTTTAATTTCAGGCAGATGTGTGCCACGCGTACCAGATTGTACACCGAAATGGAATTCCAGATGAACAGATCATTGTCATGATGTATGATGACATTGCTGATAATGAAGAGTAAGTGATAAATGTGCACCAGTCACAAACCGTATGGTTGCTACGAACATGCCATAGTCAACCAATGTGTTTTGACTTTGTAGAAGTTTTGTAAGAAAAGCCTTTAAAACCAGCTGTGATATGCATAGAGACATTTTATCCATCAGCACAATAATTCTCCTTTGAAATGTGCTCATGAGCTTTCTAAGCCTTACTCCACAACTCAGCATCAGTTATGGCACTGAGGACTGCAGAGCTTCATTGTTATGGGAGTAAGTGATCTTAACTCCCAGCCGTAACAGTTTACAGCAGATAAATAACCTAAAACTACAGACATAGGGAAGCTCTGTGTATGAGCTGCAGGGCTTTTTTGAAGGGACATTATCTGATAAATGTACATTCAACAAAGAAGTCTACATGTCCCATTCATGGTGGCTGTCTAGAGCGTATCATTGCTTTCTATATGAAACAGTTCAGTCACACAGCCTCTAATTCTGAGACAACTGCACCAGAAATCAGTGGACTTCACATGCACAGCAGCACTTGAAGCAAAGTTGAAAGGGGGCTAAAGGCAGGATTAAAGTAGAGAGGTGATAGTATGAGGAACCATCCACCTGCATCTTCAGATTAATTGACATGATCTGAGGCAGAATACTTGAAGGTACTCTGAGGGTGAGGACACGTGAGGCAAGAATGTGTAACTGAAGTGAAAAGGCCTTTATATTCTGAGATCACTTAACCTCAGGCAAGCTGGCCAGTCAAGACAGTTTAAATGGTTTCCTAGTTGTTCTGTGGTCATTGCATGGCACATGGCCAATTTTTCATATTTATGTTCTGTTTAACTTTCAGAAATCCAACAAAAGGCATTGTCATCAATAGACCTAATGGCACAGATGTGTATGCTGGAGTGCCCAAGGACTATACTAAGGAGGTAGGTATGAAACACTATGCCCCAGGGAAGGTTCAGCATTAGCCAGTATTCCGAATAAATCCTTTCAGCCTGTAGCTTACACTCCAAAATGCACATAGCATAAAGCCTCCAGCTTGTTCACCTGCATGGTTTGACATGAAGTTTGGTGTACTTAAGATGAACGGAAACAATAAATGCTTTGAAGTGAGGCAGTGGTCATGAAAGTAAACCTTTACACTGTTTCTGTGCTGGCATATGAAATAAAAGAAGGGAAAGTCTTGCATTCATAAATGGTGTAACTCAATCTGAAGAACAACTGTGTAAGGCTAATTGCTTCATTAAATCATAATAGTGATCCAATCACATGGTGATTTCACAATTCAGTATCCGAGTGAGTCGTCAGTGGCTGATACATTTTATGATGATAGATCGAAAAGGATGGCCAGCTCAACTTGCCATCCATGTATGGAGTCTGACTTTCTGAAGCCATCTTTCTAAATTAAGATTATTTTGTTGGTTTTATGATCAGATTTAACTTTAATCCTCTTAAATCCTTAGGATGTTACTCCAAAGAATTTTCTTGCTGTTCTCAGAGGAGATGCAGAAGCAGTGAAGGGGGTGGGATCAGGAAAAGTATTGAAAAGGTAAGAGAAGTTTAATTTAGAAAATAATTGCAAGTGTAGTTGTACATTGGTACTGATTTCAACAAAAGAGGGTAAATTAGAGCAGCTTGAGAACCCAGCAAGAATATCGATGGCAATTCCAGGTCATTCACATTACAAATAGAATGGTTCTGGTTTCTTAAACTATCCAGCACCAAGAAGCAACTGCTGATATTTGACTGGTATGGAGTCCAATATGGAGTAAGGTATAAAAACTCTAGAGGATAGTGTCAACTGTATTAAGGTATTTGTTATTTAGACTATTGTATTTTGCAAGAATGGCTATTCAAAGAGAGTTTTATTAAGGTTTGGAGACCTCTAGAAAGGGTTTGCTAAGACTTGGCTTAATGTACATGAACAGTTGTGTTAGTCATCTGAAGTGGTGAGACTTAGCAGGGAGTGGCAGAGGGACAGAGATAGCTTAAACAGCTCATCAGCTGAAAGAATCCCAGCCGTTGTGTTTGTGGTGTACATAAGGTTATTGAGGCTTTCAATGTAATGAAATGGAATTATGTTTTATATTTAATGCAAAAAAAATCTTTGCAATTGAAAAAGTAGTATAAGCAATTGACCTTGTAATTGATGTATTATGCTTAAGGTATTTGTAAACTAAGTTACACAAATAATTGTAGGTTTGGCAATATTCTAATATATGAACAATAATAAATTGTAGACTGGCTATGTAGAATGTAAGATCTGTTATTAATGGATGTAGTTTATAAAGGCTTGTAATTTAGATGATCCAAGAATAAAAGCGATATATTTGAGGCCCTAATTAGAAGACCTCTTGGAAAGATACCTGGTGTCAGTTATCTTGCTTCTACAGAGTTTGAGATAAGAAAGCATGATGCCTGTTTACTAAAGTGTGTTGTATTTCTAACTCATTACTGCTGGTGAAGAGTTACAGCATGTTACATTTTTCCATGTACAATATTTCCTGTAAAACCTTAATTTAAATTTGACCATTTGGAAGAACTAACCTAGTTGAAGAAAAATTGTGTAAGTGTCTGTCTTCATCTGACAGTTTACTTTTAGAGACAAAGCAATGAAACAGAAAAGATGAATCCTGCCCTGGCATTGGGGAGACTAAAAAAAATGAAGGAGTAGGGCAGTAGTTGAATAAGCTATTGTTCTCAATTGTTTAAACTTCATCCTCCAAAGCTGAGACAGAAAATGATATATCCAAGGCATGTAGGCAAAAAGTTAATAAACAGCTGCACAGTTACTAGATTGCTTTTTTCTATTAGCTGGAATGAGTCAAGAGGTGACTACAAAGCATTTTTCATTTAAAAACAAAAGTACTTCAGAGCACACCTCACCTGTGAAAGCTTGATGTTACAAGTCAAATAAGGGAGTGGTTATGCAGGGGGCCAAAGACTCTTAACTACTCAGGAAGACAACTTGAACCCACATATAAAAGTCTTAGTTATTTACATTGCACCTTTATCAAATTTTTTGCGCTTAGGGTCAAGAGTGGGAGCCAGAAAAATAACACCCAAGCCTTCTTTGTTAGACTCTGTTGTGTGAATTTCCAAGTGGCCTGACTCTGCTGTTGGGTGGGACAAGAACTCAGTTATCATCTGCCGTAAAGCCTTCTAGTTTTCATCTTCCAGATTGCTCCCTAACCAGCAGGTTATCGGTCAGGCAGAAGACTGGTCAGCGTCCCCTTGAGCTGCTGCAGTTGTACCTCTTTGTAATCAGGAAAGAGCAAGAGCAAATATGGATTTCTGGACCACTGATACAGAGGAAGAGAGGAGGGCTTGGGGACTCCTTCCAATCTGTTCACATTGTATTATATTTAATTGTCCCTGAATACAGTTTAAAAGCAAAATCTCTTTGCAGATCTGGCTGTTGGGTCAAGACCTCGATATCACCCAAACATGATCGGTTTGGTTTAGAGTGCAAGAAGGATCTCTGGCAAACAGTGTACTACACAGATGTTAGGGAATCAAAGCCTGTGAGCACGCAGCACTCAACCAAGTGCATAGCCACTTAGTACAAACGCCGATCTAGCCTAATGGGGGAGTTTGTATATGGATCAGTTCTTCATGGAGATGTAGGCTGATGCTGGTTTGGCTAAGTATGGCCGTACACATCACAACAAGGTAGTACATAAACATATCTAAGGATCTTCTCAAAGAAGTTTTTATGGTTTATCCCTGTATTAGTGGTGCCTCGGTATAACTTAGTTATAAAAGCATTCCTTTTTTACCAGACTGCTACAAATGCCCACAGTATGAGAGATTCTGCAGATAGGCGTTAAAAAATAATTGTGCTCCCGCCATACTCAACGTACCAGCCCCTGCCTAACCAGGAATCAGTTTACAGTTTGAAACGTGAAGCTTAATTGCCGAATTCTCCATGCTTGAGGGACTAGCCTATATATGTGTTTTCATTCCTCTTGCAGACACTCATCTCCTCTCATAGCACCCAAAGTAGTACGCTTTGGGAGGAAAAAATTACGACCAAGAGGAGAAGGTGCTTCAGCTGTATTGTTTTCGAATACTGACATGTCTTGGCATCGAGAAGTAGATGATGTTTGTTGTAGTGAAAATTAGGTTGCAGTTGTTAGAAAGAATTTGTTTGCAATTTTTTCATTACAGTGGTCCCAAGGATCATGTGTTTGTTTATTTCACTGACCATGGAGCTCCAGGACTTCTGGCTTTCCCTGATGACGATGTAAGCATTTGGGGGGATTACTCTGTTGTAAAAAACATCCTTTTAGTGATGTACTAAAATAATAAGTAATAAATGTAAAACACAAAAATATTTGATGTGCTGCCATATTGAGGGGGGAGGCAGAAAAGGAGCAATATTCTCCTCATCACCCCAGTTTGGATTTTTTTCCAGTTTGAATCTAAAGCATTCAAGTTGAAGTTATGTCATTTCGTATTTCATTGGACTTTGGTGGTCCAAGCAGACTGTTTCACACAGGTATGACTTGGCTTTCTGGTGCACTATACATGTCATCTGGGACTATTACTCGTCTTTCCTGGAGTGGTAAAATGCTAGAACATTGTATTTCAGAAGGGCAAGGCACTGGATCTATTTAAGGGGAAACAATAAACATATTCACAACAGTTAGTATTTATTCCTGGTAAGTGAATTGTGTGTCTGTTGAACGTAAGTGGTTTTAATACAAGCCTTCTTATTTTACAGCTTCACGTGAAGGACCTAAATAAGACTATTTGGTACATGTATCGTCACAAAAAATACCAGAAGGTAAACAAGTATATCAGAAGTTGTGAGATCCAAAGAGCAACTGGCATGAAAGAGACTTAATTTTGAGAGTTGTTTAAAGCAGGAGGTAGCTGTTGTGATACAAAGAAATTTGGATTAGGATTTTGCACTTACAAGGATTGATCCTTTCCAAATTTTCTCTTTCCATTTTTAGTTTACTGTATATTTGAAGTCCATGCTGAAATGTAGTGTACTGCCTTTTGATAATGGTGTATATTCTGACCAACTGTGGAGAAACAACATCTGTCACTACTGCACCCTCATAATATGTACCTGACTTGTTCTTCCTGTACTTTGTTCGCTTCTGACTGCACTGTTAGTACAGGAAGTTTGTATATAACTCATGTTTCTCTTACAGTAACTAATATAGTTTAAGAGACTGTACCTTTTGTCAGAAAATTCTGTGCATTTATTTCATCACAAGTAGTTTTAAGCAGAAAAATTAATATTTAGAACACTTTAGTAGCTTGCTTTTTCTAAGCAACTTTCTGTGGTAATCTGTCTACTATGGCTGGCTGTATTTAGGAACACCTAAGTGGCCATTGGTTCTAGAAATACTATTTTCAATAGTGGTACGTTGCTGTGCCTAAAAAGTGGCTGTGTATTTGATTTGTGCTTTATACATTAATCAATAGATCCCTGTGGATTCTATAGAGATTAATAGCATCTTTTCATTGTGATTATGTTTTCCCTTTCCATATAGTTTAGTTCCCAAAAATGAAAAATTGGATCTATTTGCTTTTATGTTTTATTTTGTAGCATTATGGCTAGCTTTTGTTTCAGGCATAGTAGTACAGGCCAACTAGCTACAGCAGAAAAACACTGAAGGACTTTTCTCCCTTTCCTTATGGAATTTCTTAAGGTCTCTGATTTATTTTATAGATGGTGTTTTACGTCGAAGCATGCGAGTCTGGATCTATGATGAATCATTTGGCTGATAATATCAACGGTGAGCAACCAGTTAACTTACTGGACTTACGTGTCACAACTTGTCACAGACCTAAACAGATACTGTGTCAAGGGTGGGTTTAAGGCACTTTTATTTACAGTTTTAGTAGGGGAGCACAAGAATTAGAGAAAGTAATATTTTACATTTATGGGAAGTTCCTTTTAAAGACTTAATGGAGTCTTATAAAGACTAACAGGGCTTTCAGTTTCTTGCAAATGAGAAGTTGAAAAAGTATTTCTTTTCAGGAACAATGTGGGTTGCCCTTAACTGGTAGCAGTTAAGTTATACTGCCATTTCTCACCCTCAGCCCTGCTAACAGCAGGTGTGAAGTTTCTGCTGCCAGTTTACCAAGTAGCAAAGGCACTTGTGAGATACCATTGCTACGCTCATTTACACAATAACCTGGCAAGTGGGAGTTTGGATTTTTCAGGGTTTCTAAGCTCTCTGCTGCAGAGCTGGGAGCTCAGCCTTGATTAGGATGAGGAATCACAGTCTTTTCAAACTCCTGTCTTGTGACAGGGAGCCTGAGTGCTCTGGCTTTCTTGTAGTTTTGAAGCTGTGATTTCAGGGAAGACCAGCCATGTGCCTATCCATGGCTTCCTGAGTCTTTGGCCCTGGAGTACGCTGCCTGGCACCCACCTAGGCTTCTTACAGCCTTATCAAAGATTTATACAGTTCACACAGAATGTTTCATATTGAAGAACACTTGGTAAATCAGCATTTTTCAAAGTTTGTTCTATTAGAAATGTCTGGTCTGGGGATTCTCTGGGTTTACCACCAGCTCTGCCACAGACTTAGAAAGGCAGAAAATTGTCAATTTATGTATTAAATTATGAAGCTGTCTTTGGCAGCCTTCAATGGTGAACTTAAAAGCTTAACTGGTTACTTAGTAAGCATTTCAAAGGGTGCTAAGAGCAGCACTTTACTACACAGACAACATTTAAGACTTTTGGGGCTTTTGAGCTTCAGATACTTTCTGAGTAGAAACAACACTATAGCTACATAAAAGCATGCCTAACACTTTTTCATTTTGAAACTTGGACTTTCCTTCAGTTACGCAAGTATGCTATGAGTTGACTTTGGCAAAAAGTCAAAATAGCTTTTGTCTTAATACCTGTAAAGACGTGTTTACAGTATTTCTACTGCGTTAGAGATGACTTACTGGGAACACTGTGCTGGGGCAGATGTTGTAGAGGTTTGGTTTCCTTTTCTCTTTGTGTAGAGTGTTATCCCAGAAAGGATATTACTTGGAAGGTAATTTTCTGAAAGAAAAGATGATTAATGGTATTTACTCCAAATTTGAAATAAAATGTCCTCATTATTGTAATAAAGAAAATGAACATACAGATGTTTGTCAGTGCACAGTGTTGTCAGGCAGTTCTCTGAATAGGAGATTTTCCCCTGTAAGAGTATATTCTTCTTTAAACACCCCAGACCACACATTTGGCAGTAAGGAAGGAGGTTTTGTAACATCACTGAGGCTGGCTGAACAGAGTGATTAACACGCTTCTTTCCTTCCTGCTATTTAAAAGTAAATGATTGAAACCCAAAGTACTTAGGCAAATATATCACGTGCAGTGAAGTACTAAATCATGTAGGAGGGTTAAAAAAAAAAATTACTTTCCATTTATCTACAGTTTATGCAACAACTGCTGCCAATCCCAGAGAGTCATCTTACGCATGTTACTATGATGATGAAAGGCAGACTTATCTTGGGGACTGGTACAGTGTGAATTGGATGGAAGATTCAGATATGGTAAGTTACTTAGATGAGGTTTTGGAATGAAAAACACTAGGCTTTTTAAAAATAGCTCTTTCACAGAATTTATGAAAGTCTTTGTTTTTATATGAGATTGAAATCAACAGATCAGGTTGGTAAAAGTATTTCTGTAATATTCAGAACCATATATAATCTTTGTTTGGGCAACTAAATTTATTTATGAAACTAACTTCCAGAAATGTACCCTTCTTTTACTATTTATAAGATTAGGCACTGTCTAGCTTCTAGTTTCAAATTCACATAATCTTGATTTTCTAATCTGAGACAACATCTCCAAATTTGTTAAACAAATCGGGCAGTTCTGTAAGTTGTACCTCTGCTTCAGGGATCCTTAAATACTGAACTGTGGCTAACTCGTTTGTTAGCATAATGGAAAACAGTGTTGATGAAACAAATCTGGGATTTACATGTTAGCCCACTTCCTTCTTGCCCCTTTGCTGGGAGATTAGGAGATCACTATAAACAATTTGGGAATATGCTGTCAAATCTTCATTTCAGTTTTTACTTTTGTGTCTTTCAAACAATGTATAGCTCTTGCTCTATACTTCCTTCTACATACTGGCAGCTAAGACCCTTTTCAGGTTTCCTTGCTTTTTTTAGAATAGCTGAATTTAAGTATCTGTGACCACATGGAAGTTTCTTCATGCAGGAGGATCTAAGAAAAGAAACACTCCACAAGCAGTTTCAGCTTGTGAAGAAACGCACCAACACCAGCCATGTGATGCAGTATGGAAACAGAGTATGTATTTGAGTGGGCTTCCTGGCCAGATATATCTTAAAATATCTTATGCTTTTGTGCCCTATACTTTCATCCCTTTTTAAAAAAAAAAAAAAAAAAAATCACTGTAAACTGGCAAGGTTGATTTAGAAAATGAAACTGTTCATCTCAGAAGACCACTTAGCATTTAAGAGACAACAGTCCTGATGCTAAAGGAAATACAGCCTTGTATTATGCTTTAATCCAAAGAGTCAGGATACAAGTTGTCCTCCAAGCCCTGCCAGTGATTTGACACTTTAATCATGTATAAGAATGGTATTTACCACCTCCAGACATATTATGAATATTAATGAAGTGTTGAGTACATTGATCCCTTGAATGGGAAGAGCTGAGAGGTGATGTATTATTTGTAATATTCCCTTTATTCACTGTGTTAATAGAAGCCCAAATTAAATATTTGTTTAAAAAGAAGTCACCTTACTTAACCTGATGGTGTTTTTCCCCCACAGTGAGTTTTGGAAATAAAAGTTCCCTGATTTTTTGCAGGCTTGACCTTATATTAAAAAAACCCAACATGCACACGCACACACACTTACAACCCTATGATCTCCTTTATTTTCTCTAATAAAGCAAGTTTAGAGAGTTACATTTGCATAGCAAAACAACTACCTACTGGAGGTGATTGACAATTTCCATTTGTCAATGTCATTTGTACTTTCTAACCTTCAGAGCATCTCCTCCATGAAAGTGATGCAGTTTCAGGGCAAGGGGAAGAAAGCTGTCCCCATTTCTCTGCCACCTGTGAAACATTACGACCTGACTCCTAGTCCTGATGTGCCTCTTGCAATCATGAAACGAAAGCTGATGGCTACCAATGACATTTATGAGGCTAAGAAGATTGCTGGAGAGATGAAAATACACCTGGAGGTAAGGAAAAAAATAAAGTTGAATGGTACATCAGGTCAGACTGACAGATTGCTGCCAGTTTTTGAAAATTCAGACTGCTAACCTCTAGCTGGTGGTTTATTCTTCCTTTAAAATTCAGGGATCTGTTCCACAAGGCACATTCAGTAGTGATTACCTAGGCAAATGTAAGCAAATGCAAAAGTCAATCTCACAGCTTTTGTTGCTAGGGAATTCCTCATCTGCATCCATTGGGATTCTTGCTGGGAGAAGTTACTCTTGTCTCAATAGAATTGAAGTCTCCCAAATCAAATAGCTTCTGCAGAATGGCAGCCAGTATTGGTGTTGTCTTTCTTCTGGCAGACCACTAGAAGGACAGTGAGTGATTTTGGGTGCCAGGAGTCTGACTTTCTGTCTCCCAAATTTTAATTTGTGTGTTCAGAGACAGGTCCAAAAGACTGTGCTAGAAGTAAATAGTAAAACTGCATTCCTCAAAGAGCCCAGGAGTTGAGGTTTAAAGAAAGAGAAATTTCATTTAATGTCTCCAAAAAAAAAAAAAAAGGCATGTTTTAAATTCTTGTTTTAAATGCAGGTGAAAGAATTTATCCAAGAATCCATGCGAAAGATCATCACCTTAGTAACAGGATCAAAAGAGCAGACCAACCAAATTCTGTCAGACAGATTGACCATCAGCAATTATGACTGCTACCAGTCAGCAGTGAACCACTTCAAAGGTCGTTGCTTCAACTGGCATTTACCCTTGGTAAGTCAAGCATTAGATATAACCTGATACACCTACTGGTAAATCATAAGCAGGTCTGCAAAATCAGCTTTTATTAAAAAGCTAGCTTGGGGGCAGTCTTGCAGCTTAGTTTTGGATAAAGGGTGAGTAATGTTTTTGGAAGCACATAACCACTTCCACTGCACCTGTAGATAAGCAAGAAGATTCCTAAAACCCAGAAGTACTAGTTAGTGCTGTCCCTTCATCAACTTCCTCCCCCAAAAAATCCCAGTATTAAAGAAGTTATGTTGTATTTCTACCTGAAGCATCTCTACTGGCAAAACAGAAACACAGCACCACCACTGTGAATTCATAATCCTAATATATTCAGATTTCTATATTATGATTGCACGTTGCATAGTTCTTTGCAATAGCCAAGCTGCTACTTCCATAGTCTTGTTGAATTCCTGAGAGCCACTATTTAATTTGGGGGTTTTATCACTGTCTACTCTTCGTGGGATCCCAGTTGAGGACCAAATCCTGTTGTGCTAAGTACTGTTCAGACAAGAATAAGAGGTCAGTTACTATTCTAGAAAACCCAGTCCTGATAACCTAAGCAGGTAGTGGCATGTGACAGGATGAGTCAACAGCAACTTAATTGATTTTAGCAGAAAGCAATGGGATTATGTGGCAGTTGGCCAAGATTTAAATACTATATACAAATCAAAAGCAGATGCACTCCTTCAGCTGGAGCTTCTAATCAACCAGGCTATTAGGAGGCCACATTGCTCTGTTAAACTTTTAGTTCCTCTTCAGTGTTTTTTTGTTTGGTTTTTTGTGGTGTTTTTGAGTGAAATTGGTTAGATGGATGAGCCTTGCCCCTAAGGGGGCAATATGCTGAATTTACCTAACAAAGTTTAAAGAGCAAAATACACAGAATAAAATTTAGCCTAGATTGCCAAGACCAGCAAATAAAGATCTTGAATGTTAATAGTGTCTCTAAATTACTTCCACAATTTAGTTTGGATAAACAATACCTGCTCTTCATCATTGAAGTTATTAACAATGTTTGTTTATTTCAGTATGAGTATGCACTGAGACAGCTGTACGCCTTGGTCAACATTTGTGAAGGAGGATACCCCATTGACAGGTAATGATGTTCCCAGATACACTGCACAGTTTCGTCTGTGGCAAAAAAAGCAGAAGCTAATAGGCAGATGAAATGTAACACTACAGAGCTGCTCACTAGTTCTGCTCTGTTGACCATTTTGTCAGTAAAGTTCTGACTCTAAAGTTACAAATGCTTATTTTGGAAAACATATTATTATTAGTCCCCTCCCATTCATAATGATACAGTTCCCCAGTAACCCTTTAATTTCCTTGTTGAAGGCCCTCAGGGGAAATTATAGGCAGTTGGAGGATCCCACCGCACCATGTAACATAAAATAGCATGACTGATGCAAGGGTGTTGCCCTGTAACTCCTGTGTGATCTTACGCTGAAGCAAGGTTGGGAACTGCTGCATTTCCTCTGCTGCCGGCTCAGAACACCACAGCACTGCTGGGTTCTGATGAGGAAAGGGAATACGGTGCTAGGGCCTTCATCTGCGAGCGAGTGGTAGGAAAGCAGGGAAATAATGGTCCAGGCTGACCCTTATAGTGTGCGGTACGGGCAAGGGAAACATGGTGTTGAAATTTTGTCGTGGGAAGTTGTAGTTTGTGGTAGAGGATGGGATCCTAGCTTGTGAGTCATGCGAGAGGAAGAAAAGGGACAGAGCAAAGCAGAGGGGTAGGGGATGGGAGGAGGGTGAACTGTTAGTTTAGGCAGAGAGTGAACATGCAGCCCAGAAGGTGAAGAACTGCTGCCCTTACTCCTGGTGGCTTCCTACCACAGTCATTTTGGGAAACAGTTTGGGAGCACAGTGCCTGAAAAGTTTCTCATCGTTGCTGTTCTCTGTTGCAGAATATGCCAGGCCATGGATCAAGTGTGCCTCGGGTATTGATGGAAATGACAGCCCCTAATATAACCCTTACTATAAGTGATAACTTTTCATAACTGTAATAATCCAGACTTTACATGCATGCAACATGAAGAGAGTCAACCAGTGTACTGGGACTTTGCTGGGAGCTGAGTCACCTGACCATGAGCAATACAGCACTTGCCAGCATTCTCCTCTGCATCCCCACCTGCTGACAGCCTGCTGCTTCGGCAGAGGCATTTTGGCAGACCACCTGGAGCTTTCAAGATGGATGATTTGTTTCAAAGTGCAATGCTCTTAAGAATCTCTGGATGAACACTACAAGCCACCTATCAGTGATTGCTAAATCTATGCTAAATTTAAATACTGAAAAATTTTAATTTCTGGAAAATTTTTTTAATACTATTGCTAACTATTAGCTTTTTTTTAAAAAATTAATGAATTCCATTACAGTGACTAATTTGCAGGTTGGTTAAAGAGTGAAGAAACCAAAGCTTGTTCTTTAAGCTTTAGCTCCTTAACAGTTTAAAGAAATGGGTTGCATTCAAGAACTATTGGATGTGAACAGCACAGTTAAACTGTGAACAGTAAAAGTCTTTGTGGGTAGGAAGTACTGTTTCCCAAAGAAAACCCCAGATATCCAATGCTGTAAATTTAGCACCAGTATGCTATAATAAAATGTATATACACACAAATCTGTGGGAAGTCACAGAGTACAGGAATTGCCTGTGAATAAAAATAAAGTTGACAGTTTCCTCAACCTACAGGGCAATACAGTGTTAGACATCTTGCGTCTTGAAAACGAATGAGAGATAATTCATTTTATGATATTGCATTAAAAGGTTATCTATCCCCATAAGCCTTTTATAAGACAGGTCAAAACCCCCAAAAAACCCAACAAAACCCAAAATCAACCCCAAAATCTCAGCCAAAAAGCAACAACCACAAAAAATATCAAAAGCCCAAAGTCACATTTGAAGGCACCACTCCTTAGAGGTGACTCGGTAAATAACAAGCAGGGGGAAAATTAGAGGTTATGAGGTGAGTCAAAATAGTTTCAGGTTGTCCATACCTTCTTACACATGGAGACAGGATACAGAAATATTTCAGGGTTCTTTCCAAAGACTGTTATAATATGCAAAATTACCTCATCTCCATGGGAAAAGAAGAGACCTTTGTAAAACTAAACCAGCATCTCCAGGATGGAGAGAACTCTGGGTAGCTCCACTCAGAGGAGAGGGGTTGCAGGGGGTGTAACAAACTAGTTTTTATAAAGAAGAGCCAGATAAAGCCAGGAGCATTAGCACTTTCACCTGTCTGCTGAGAGAGAGTGCGAGAAATCCCAGAGAGCAGCTAGTGACAAGATGGATGGGATAAAGGTAAAAGTATGCAGAACTAGGCTTTACTGAATTAAGAAACTAGGCTTTACTGAATTAAGAAACGAAAGTTCAATATGTGCTGCTTTTGAGTTGCTTCTTGTTTCTTTTCAGCTGTAAAGCTGGTTTGGGGGGGGGGGCAGTTAGCAGATATCTAAAAATAAGAGAGTATGAAATTCTTGAGTGCCTGAATGTTGCAGGTGTTCTCCGATGGCAGGAGGAAGGGTTAGCCACACAGGACAGCTTTTAGGCATCTGGCTGCTATCATGAAAGAGTGCACCAAAAGCCACCAATCACTTTGAAACAACAGGAAAAATGACTCCTTCAAAGCCCTGTTTGAATATATATATTCAATTTGCTAAGTTTTACACATCTCTGTTTTTAGACTTGTTCTCTGCCCTAGAAATCCAGCCTGCTTCTCAAGCACTTAGCATCATCAGTTCATAGTTTTAACAATTTTCTTCACCTCATTTTCTTCTGGAGTATTCAGAAGAGGCTTTTGGATTTTCATATGTAGAATGCGGGGGTTTTTTTAGGCGGCCCTCTAGGTTCTTCACAGATAGCATCACTTCACAGCCGAGAGTCTCCAGTCACACTAAGTAGGCCTCAAAAAGTGATTATCGGATGAAAAATGAGCTGCCAGCACGTTTTTATTTTCACACATTACTGACACCCAGGTGGCACTTGTACCTCACTAACGTCAAGTGCCATGTCCCTCCTGCAGACCCTTGTAGCTCTGAGGATGCAAAGCTGAAACGTGAAAGAGTGGGATTTTGTTCTGTCCGTTTTCCTCCTGCAAGAGCGATTTCCAGACCTTCACCATCTAAAATGCTACCCGTGGGAATGTTACCCCTTCCCTTAGGGATGTGCCGAAATGAAAGAGGCAGCCTGCTGAAGGTATCACTTGCGCCCACAGTATCGCCTCAGATGCAGCAGGTTCTTGTCTGTGCCCTGCAGAAAGCATTAATGTGCTATTGAATTTCCAGAGACCCATTTCATTTGCACTCACTCAGGAAACAGTGCTGCAGAAGAAAATCCAACAACCTTCACCTGCACTGATCAATAAATTTATTTTAAGGCCTCCAAATAGCACCACACAGGCATGGGGCCTGCATGGCAGGCTGTTTATTTTGGGATGGTAATAGAACCTGATGAGAAAATAATTTTAGGATTGTGCAAGGTCAGTCTTAAGCCAGAGTATCTTGCAGTGTGTTGGGCAAGTGCAGTCATCCTTGCTCTTGCTGCAGGCACGCAGCTGCTCAGGCTGCCATTCCTAGAATGCTGGGGTGCAGGAATGACTTCTGCAAAACATGGAAACTGTCAGGCTCCTGGCAAATTGTCATCACCACGCAGAACAGGGCAAAGTTGAGGCTGTGTTATTTACAAAATCCTTTCCTGAGCTGAACAGTTTGTATATTAGTAACCCCTGGAAAAGTGTCATCCGCCCTGGCCAGGTCTTCCTGTCTTCGTCCTAATTGCTAGGAACAGAGTTCAAGGCCTTTTTCCCAGCTGTTCTGTGCCTAATCCACCATGTGTTTCTACCCAGCATCCTGCTGCACACAGCAGTTCACCACTTTTCCTTTGAGAGGACCTGGAGGGCAGAAGGCATGATCAGCCACGGTATACTGTATACTGACTATTTCTATGTAATGTAAGTTTACATGGACATAGTTTTGTTCAGAACAAATACAGCCGCCCTCCTTTCTCTACAAGCAGTAAAACAGAAGGCAGTTCACCAGGAGTTGAAGATAATGCACTTTTTTAGAGATTTCAGTAAGTGGTATTATTTTAGCTCTGTCCAAACCAAGTTGCATCCTCTCTCACCAGGACAGCTTAAGGTAAGCACCGAGCAGCTGTGCCCATCTTAGGGCAGGGGGCTGAAGGCCTCTTGTTCCTGTGCTCAGCCCCTGCCCTGTGAGAACAGCGATGGAGGAACAGCAGAGGGAAAGGAACCTTAAGCTGCAGTCCTGACTAGGCAGCATTTCGTGCCAAGAGCTCAGGCGATTCTGAATCAGAGGCTGCTTCCTTCCCAGGGACATGATAGCCCAACAGAGGCAGGAGACAACAGCAGTATTACAAGTCTCTAATCCTGTGCGCTGCGGGCAGATCGGCCGGTGTCCTGCAGCAGCAGTGCCCGTCTGAGGAGGGACTCTGGTCGGACAGGCAGGGTCTTCGCACCAGCTGAATAGGAGGAAATCATTTCTGACAGTGCAAGAGGTTGAAATGCTGGACCAGGGCCCCAGCGAGGCTGTGCAGTGTCCAGCCCCAGAGACCTGCAGCGCTGAACGGACAAAGCCCTGAGCATCCTCAGGTGCAGCCCTGCTTTGAGCAGGGCTTGGGCTGGTGACCTCCACAGGTCCCTGCCAGCCTGAATCACTCCACAAGCCTGTGGAAAAAAGCCAGTCTTGTGCCGCGTTTCAAAGTACAGTTGGTGAGTGATGCATGATGAGGCCCAAAAACTCTTGAATTCAACAGGAAAACTGCCTTTGATTTCAGTGGCTTTTATTTTAGGTTATATGTGACCTGCCAGTGTAGTTATTTCAGTGAATTATTGACAGATTCTATCACTGGGTGCAAAGCTGCGTTAAACCAGCTCTGTGCATGAAGTGGCCACTCAGGCTTTTTGGTTTTTTCTTTGCAGAAGTT